TATATGAGATTATTTCATGCACTGTTTTTGTTTTGTTTATTTATTTATTTATTGTTATCCAAAAACATGAATTCTTAGAATTTAAAAATGTCAAGCAATGCAATCCCATCTTGATTATTATAGTGTCTGAATGATTGAATCACAGACTTTAATTAATTTATAGTTAAACTTAAAGCCTGTAATTAAATGGATATTATTTCATTGTACATAACTTCATGTAGATTTATTGAAATAATAATATGTACTTAACAATCAATTCATTTACTTCTTTTGCACAGACATTTTTTCTGAGATACCCTTTTCCAACTACATGAAATGTATAAAGTGTCAAATTTCAAATCATTTACAGTAACTTGCATTAAAATAAATGATGATTTTATATTTTCTTCGTAAATTTACAATACTGAGCTGAATATATAAAATAACTAATAACTAATAATAAACTTTAGCGTGGTAATCTAGTTTAAACTAGTTAATTATCACTGATACTTATAATCATTTTTGGATTTTTTTTTTTTAATGTGTACACTTTTGACAAAAATTTTCTAAGTGTTTCCATTACTTTAACAAGAAATTTCTAAGTGTAGATTTGTACAAAAATTTTCTAAGTGTCTACTAATTGCAAGCTTGCGGCATTGCAAGCTTACATCAAATGTTTGCAAGCTTGCATGAATTTTAAACAAGCTTGCAATATATTTCAAAAGTCATCGCAAGCTTGCGCAAGCTTGTTGCAAGCATGCAGCAACCTTGTATTTAAGCTGTAAGCTTGCGGCAAGCTTGTGACAAGCTTGCGGCAAGCTTGTCGCAGGCATGCATTTTGGTTTGGGACATTTGTAAATAAAGATTTAAAATGTATATTGAACATTCATTTTACAAGTTAACAATCTTGCTGGCTTCTTCAATATCTGCCATAAATATTTATAAGATTTTGATAAAAGAACACGAGACGGTAATTATCATTTTCAATAGCGGTAATTTATCACATTTTCAACGCTTTCAAAACATTTCTATTGATTTTGAGCATGAGCATTAGTATAAATAACCTATTTGTTCCACTAAAATGACAAGTTCAAACTTTAACAGTGCAACATGAAGGAGGTATATATTTTCAAGAGAATATTAAACTGTTAAGAATGTCATAAAAATGGAACTACAGAAGTTCTGCAGAGATAAAAACAACAATAAAATGTACAGAAAAAGCTTGTATTGGTGAAAAATATATAGAAAAAAACTTTTTCTTTTTCTTCTTTGTTTGGTTTTAAGGCAGACCAAAATTATAATGGTCATTACAATGGAGGCTTTTCAGTTGTATTGGTGGATGAAGCCCTCAGGTGCCCACTCTGTGCAGTATTTCAGGCACAAGCAAGTACCAGATAAGAACCACCAACGTTCCATGATGATGGATTAGAGAATTCCATTGTCCATTGCGGGACTCAAACCCATTTTGATGAGGGGCAAGTGGTTTGAAACTATGGACCTTAACCATTAAACTATAGACACCTTAAAAGTAATACACATGTATGATTTTTAATGTATTTATTTTTATAATCCTCCTCAATTTAGTGGAGAAATAAAGATATATTATAGTTAATTATACTAAACCTGAAATCCATGTCCTTTCAATAAAGTGTTTATATAAATATTTTTACCTATTTGGCTCACATAAAATAATCATTACTCATTATTAAGAAATGTTACAATAAGTAAATATTTAAACTTAGGGAAATGTTCTTGAAATTCACAATAGGCTTTTCTAAAGTTCATTACTGGTTGGGGACCACAAAAACCGGACAACCACTGAATCCGGACGGCCCCGAAAATGCTTAATTTAGTATTTTCTTTGTTCGGTGGTTGTCAGTCACTTTTTATCAACAATAAGTGCATGTTTCTTTTAAAATTATTAATAAGTAAATAAATGTATTTCAACCTCCGTAAATGGTAATAGTTTAATTTATATTTCAAGAATGTTGACGTTGAAATTCGGGGGTAAAGAAAGCAATGCCTGACCTCATATACCAGCTATAATCATTCGCAGAGTGAAAAATAGAATATCCAAAAGTTCAGCATTTGTTGCTGACATAATGTATATCATGTTACAAATCAAAAATCAAAACACCCAAGCTTTTATCTGAATTAAATCATATCATGCACATAGCTGTCCGGACACATGGTACTGTAGTGTTGACAATTTAGGTAATTTTGATACCCTCCTTGTCGAGCCTCAGATGTAAGTGTCAATACAATCAGAAATAAACAAACTAGTTTGTTAGTTAGGAGAAGAACCTAGCTGAACTGTGTCAAATTTTTTGGTCTCTAGGTTAAAAATTATGAACTCTGTACTGGCAAATGTTCCAAAAGTGTCCGGTTGATGGTCTCCGACCAGTATGAACCAATTTCCACCAATTAAATGTTATTAAACGGATATTTGTCTAGATTCGATCAAGGAAGTTGTACTTTTATTCTAAAGTTCTATATAATTAAATTCAATTATGTCAAATAGTCAATAATAAATAGGTTATTTCAAAGACATTAATGAATTGATTATTTCAAAAACATTAAAGTTGATCAATAATACAAAGTATGCTGGTCTAACTAAATTGAGTCACTGGAATATCTAATAATTATTACTGAAATTAAATTTTAGTATCATACCATGTTTTACCCTTAAAAAAAAAAGCCTTAAGTCTGCCTGATGCAACTCAGAATTTTACCTATGCAACCAGTACAGAACAACTGAATATGAAATTATAACCCATGTTACGTAATACTGCATTACAGATCAAGATAAACTGACACATATCTTTACCAATTCTGATCATTACATGTATCTGCACTGTTCACTTTTCAGTTGGTACTTATTTTGAAAATTTTCCCTAAAAATGTTAAATTGTTTTGTCTAGATTGAAAAATGGACAAGTCCATTTAAGATATAAATTTACTATTTACTGTTTTATGGATATAAGGGTTATAAATTTAATTATTAACTTTTTCAAATTTTATTAAAATTAAATATATTTATTTCTACCAACAATAATTAATATCTACATGGATATACTGAATTCAGCCAAATACATAATATTATGTATGTTATAATTTTGTTAATTTCATTAAAGTAAACTTTTCCTTAGACTTATTTAAGAGAGATTTAATTTTGACCATGTACAGATGTAAGAGCTATCAAACTTCTCAATTTATTACTTCTTAAGTCTAACTACCCTATACTAATGTCCAAATATTATCACATTTACAATACAGTCAATGACCTCAGGTATAGATTTTACAACCTGTTTTTATTTAACTTGAATACAAGTTTGTATAATATTCCAATATGCGATAGTAAAGATCGTTTCACAAACATTGAAATGCTCTTAACTCCAAGACATTTAATTAACCTCAAGTGTTTTTTTTTTTGCCGTCTGGACATTTTTGCATATCTCATGAATAATGAATCTCAATTTTATGACTTGAACAGTTTCGATTAGCCTATTAAGTGTAATTATACTAAGTTCATATTTAAAGAACAGCTTAAAACCATTAAAATTAATCTTCAGTGTGAGTGTGGGGTCTTCCCCCACTTCAATATATAACCAATTTAGACAATAAAATTTCTTATTTCACTTTATTCAAGTACATGTATTCTATCAGCAGTACTGTTTTTCCCACTATATTTTACAGTCAAATAAAAAAGGCTATTTCCCCTAACACAAATCCCTTAAAATTAATTTATGCTATATTTTCCCCTGAAATGCCATACCAGAACCATGACTTAACAGCAGCTGGCTTTTCTATAAATCATAATGAAAATCAGTAAACAACTTTAACTTTTTTTATATATATTTTTTTTTTGGTTGGTGTTTGGGAAAAAAATACCCCTACTTCACAGTGGTTTTTTTTTCAATTTGGAAAATAATCTACATTGAGTGAAGTTGGGTGAAAATGTCTGGTTTAATGCCAAAATTTATATTTTTACAAAAGTTAACACATATCATACTTATTTCATTAAACTTTATTTATCTTTGCATTAATATTTCAGATGTAATTTCAAAATCAAGATCTCTGATTTATGTTTGTTTTTAAAGTATGTCCATAATCTTTCAGCCTAGAAAATATCTCAAATCTCTGATTTTGGGAGTTTTTATTGGGAAAAATTACCCTGAAATGGAAATATTCCTTTTACCAGAAAACATTGTTAAATTGGGAATATCAATAAAAACAGCAGGAAAATATCAAATTGATGCTGATCAGACCAATATTTCTGAGATGACCTTCCATGTTGGATGCCTTCTTGTGAGCAAATATGATTCAATTATACCATTAATTAAATAGTTCATATTCAAAGCTGCACGCCTCCAGACGAGCCAAAATGAAAGTTTTGTTTTAGTTAATCAAACTTGAGAAAAAAGTCCATAGATTTTAAGACATGCAAAAAGATTCAAGCAATAATTTACATGTCATATGCGATTTAAATGACTGATTTTGAAGTACAGTATTAATCTCCGTATTTCTACTGCGTGACTGAAGCAGTAAAGGCTATTTTGCATTTTTTGAGCTCTTTTCGGTAATTTATGGGATAATAAGTGCCGTTTGTATAATGTGAAAATCACTTTTAAGTTCACTTCACATTATTTTACTTTTACTTTTATTTTGAAATACATTTTCAAAATTTTGTTCTGGAACATTTTATTCTTCTTGTGTGTTATAATTTATTTTACAACTTGTTCGAGAATTAAGCTGTAAACTGTGATAGGAAGGCAACATAATTTAACCTTTTATAGAGTTCATAAAAATACTTCATTTGAATTTAGACTAAGATGTTCAGCTTTATACACCAGCATCAGTTTGTTGACAGGCTATTTAAGAATTCAAGCTGTTGTTACTGAATGATTCTGTAAAACGCAAATTGGGAATGGGCTGACCATTCATGCCGGATCGATGCCTTCTTGCAAGCAAAGGAAAAAACACAATGACATGTACATATAAGTTTAAACAATATTCCTTACCTTAATAGATCCATCTATAAGGCCAACAGCCAATAATGATCCATCATCACTGAATCTGTTACACATTACATCTGCTGGACATTCCCTGTCAAATTATAACAGTCAATCTATGAAATATATTTTAACAATATATTATTTCTATGAAAATTTATGACTCAACTACCTATCTTATAAAATTGTTTATTTTTTTAGGACAATATAATAATTATCATATGACAATTTTTTTTCTATATGTCTATCCCAGTGTACCATGTCAAGTTTATAGTTGACAGGGATAGTTGGCAGGAATTTTACCATCTGCATGTCCTGGGTTTGCCAATTTGTCTGATTTGAAGTGACATCAGTGATTTTCTGATTTTTCTCACTTAATTGGGAAGAGGCCTTACAGCCTCTTGATTTTAGGAAAAATTATTGCTAAATTGCTAATTTGGGAAGTAAAAAGGCAGGTTTATTAAATTCAGATTTTTGAAAAAAAATTGCATGATTTAAAAGAAAATTACAATTGGGAAGAGGCCTTTTATCGGAGTCTGTGTTATATAAGCAAGAACATAACTGTTCATATACCCTCCCTGCAATCTCATTAAAATCATATCCTTATTGTTGCTTGAACACTACCCTTTGCTAGGTAGGAAAAATGGATTGAAAATGATGATCTGATTTTAATGAGATTGCCCAGTCCCTGGGGTACAGGAGCAGAGTTTACAAAGTTCTGACAGGTACTTAAGATGCCCCTTGTTTCTTTTTTACATCAAATCATTACAGTGTATTTCTTTATATTATACACCTGTCATGTAACATAATATAAGTTATTAGATTGTCATGCTGGCATCATTTTTGCCTCATAATACTTTTCATAAGAGAAATGGTAGTCTATACAAAAGTGTGCATGAAAAGTCATAAATTTATTTTCATTAATTCATTCATCATGATGCCTAATAAGTCATGTGGTAAAATATGACACATGTATGAGATGTCATGTATAATATAAAATTGTATTTTACTCATCCAAGAGGCCCGCTTCATACCAATTTCTTGAACTTATTAAAATATATCGATAATGCTCACTCAATGAGTCGGACATGTGATAATGATAAATCCTACATGTATATCATAGTCCTTATTATCTGATTATGTTTATATGTCATTGACTGTTCTATGAGTATGATAGATCTATAATAATAATAAATTTATAAAAATGAATGAACTGTGATAGATGCTGACACAAATTAGGTCAGTAAATTATGTCTATGACTTTGGGTAAGATCCTAATTCAAAACTTACACAGTAGCAAGTCTAATTTGACAACTTACACAGTAGCAAGTAGTTTCATATTTCCTTCAAGGTATGGTCCCTGTCGATGTCGACCAGATTCGGATTCAACAGAGAAGTCTCCCGAGGAGGCCAATGAAGGAGTTATGCTAGCCCGATGTGCCATTAAATCCATGCCGCCCATGTTGGGTAAATTCTTCGTATGCTGTAAAACATACATTTTCCTCAGATAATCAATCAGCAAAAAACACAACGATTAACCTTCAACTTCAAAATCAAATGGACCGAAATGAAAATCAAATCTCCTATGTAAATATTGCAGGTTCACAGTGAATAATTATTGTTACAGCGAATGGTGTAAAAGGTTATCAAATTAGCACTTATTTTCTTTGAGTTGATAAAACATCAAACAAATTAATATGTTTGAAGAATAATTAATTTTGATATGCATTTTGTTCAAAATCTATTTATTTTCTTGCTTTTATCGTTGCCAAATAAATTCACTTCTGAATAAGAATATGTCTGCGCCCATGAGACGAGTTGTGTAAAAACAAGTTTACAGCATAAAAGATAGATTGTCAACATCAAATCATATTGACTTGAGGTTTATTTTTGAGAATTAATGTTTACGTTTCATTTATTTACTTGTACTCTGCTCAGTTTTTTTTATTAACTAATAATACATTACTTTCGTTCTTGTGTCAATTCGTACCCAAGTTTGAAATGTGTTGTGTAAAGAATACAATTAATTTTTTTTCTCCAATGTTTGGCATAATTAAGGAGGTCATGAAAATGCAAAAATGTCTGTCAACCAACAAATAGATAAAATTAAGTTAAACAAGTTATTGGCCACTCAAAGTCTACCAGTTATAACTATGTTATTTTTAGTTCTGGCTTCCAAAACTTTATGAGCCGCTTTTTAATATTTTTGTTTTTCATCTGATGCGGCATTAAAGTTTTGGATTAGACCCGTTACGAAACCTAACCAGAATATCATAAGTTGATTTAACCCTATTTTTCACTTGCAAATACCCTTGTCCCAATCAATTCTTGTGCATTTTGCGATAAAACAATTATTTTAATATCATTCTATACCATTTAAAGTATCAAAACATTAATACCATCATTAAAATTGCCTATTTAACTGTAAAACATCAATTATCCCGACTAAAGTCAGCCATGACATTTAGGAGCTACGCAAGACCTCGTATGACGTCATTCGCGGGAACCAGTTAAAGTAGAGTCCTGTACGATGTTTAGAACACCGTTGTTGACATGATTTCAATATTTTATTATTCAAGATAATGTTTTATTTATTTCCTTTAATTATTTAGTACTTAAATATGATAATATTGAATACAAAAGTCAGTAAATCACCTTTTTCAATATCTTTAAAAAAAGTAATTTATTAAAAAATTGAAAAAACATGGGTTCGTAATAATAATATCTGTCATATTTTGCGGTTTGGATCGGAATATCCGTCCCGAGGTGACCCGCCCATTGGGCGGTAACGAGGCTTGCCGCAAACATATGTCAGATATTTTTTCTTGCATATCCTACCATATTCCATTATATTTTAAATTCTTTATCTTTATTTTCAATGAAAATTTATATCATTACAACCGTAACTACTTTCATTCAACAGCGTATGAATTACAAAATCATTCATAACGGTAAAATGATGTCATCTTTATCGTGCCATTGTACAGCACGCGACTCATCTGGAACCCCCCATGCCAGATGAAATTTCCGGCATGGTTAAAACTAACGGAAACGCCAGTCTGATATGTTAATCTTGTGTTCACGTGGTCAAACATTTTAGCAATATGGCGGCCAAGTGTTGATTTTTTTACCTGTCGGAAACTATTAGGTAGTTTATGTTCGTAATAAGATTTTTATTCGTCCTTTCTTGGCTTATCAACAGATTATATATAGTTTTATCAAAGTATGCTTCACTTTACTTAATGGCATGTCAGATGAATGATTACGAGGCGGAGCGTGACAGATTCCTGGCACGATTATTGGTGGACTTTCCCTTCGGGTCCGACTTCAGCGTTCACGTCATGTCAAAGTATATAAACGGGTACGCTGAAGACCTTAAGCTATGTTATTTTCGATCATGCATTTCGTATTGATTTATTCAGAGAAATATACAAATGTACATAAACACAAAAAAGCACTTAACAAATCTTATGAGTGTGCATGTATTAATGGTCTCATATGTTTGTCAATTTTTGTACGATCATGCTGAAATTTTCAATAAATACAGTTGAGAGACATGATATGATATTCCATTTGCTAAATATCATAAGCAACACAATTATACTGAATATGCCTAAAAAATGTGATAGTGCTTTATAAGTCAATGTCGCAAAAAAAATGTATCAATAATCATTGATAATTATTCAAATATCTTATGGCAACCTGACTGTTAATTTCATCCTGGGAGTGTTGTCGCATGGATGTGATTAGATTTATTTACTGTTGGACTGAATTTTCACATAATTTCACCCCATATAGATTTTATCACAAGTACATGTAAGTGATCGGCGCTGAGATTACCATTAAAAAACACATAGTGACAACATCCTTCCTGAACTTCACTGTACAGTGCAACAGAACATCGCCCAGTAACTAGCCAAGATTTATTAAACTAATTTAAAATCAACCCCAGAATTAAATCTGCAACGATGATGAATCAAAGATGTTAAAATTTTACGACATTTACGTTTTACGCAACATCACATTTATTGAGCATATTTATTAAATTTGTGTTTGTTATAGAATTGAATAAATGGAATAATTCATACCATGTGATTGAAAATTCCAGCATGATAGGGTCAATAATTATATTATGACTCACATTCTAAGATGCATGCACCCTTTTAAGATTTGTTAAGTGTATGTTAAAACTTGATTACATGAATAATAGAAAAGTAGGCAAATGGGGAAGTAAAAAAAAAACATTTTGTTCATTTTTTATTTTGCATTTCTCATTTTAAGGTGTCATTCAGTATTCCATGTATTGCTTCTATGTTTGATATACCTTGCTGATTATCATTGATTAACTTTAAAAAATATTGGGCCAATAAAAATGTGGCACCAAACTAGAAATGACACAAAAAATTTCACTGATAGATCTGATATAGAAATCTATATATTTTTTAATTGTTTTTTTTATTTGATTTTCTTTTTAATATACACATGTAGTTAATAGCTGGGCAAGCCAATATTAAAATACGATTTTATATTAATAGTAACTTTTGTTAACATATTACTTTAGGAACCATGAAGTGCATGATACGACAATATGGGACAAATTCTGCTACAAAAAGGCGTGTTGTGGTAACTGGTCTAGGTATGGTAACCTGTCTTGGAGTAGGAACCAAACATGTCTGGAATAGACTTTTAAAAGGTGAATGTGGTATACAGAAATTAACTGAACCAGGTGAGAACTTTTTTGCTGTATATTACTCACCAGTTACTTGTAACCCCTACTCCTACCCCCATCCTGGGAAATGTGCAGATAACCAGGTGAAATGATTCAAAATTGATAGATCCCTACTCTGACCTTTTATTTAGTAAAAATAGATTTAGCAACAAACATTGACATGTGCTCTTTTGTTATATGCCCAAAAGAATTTCGGGCATATTATGTTATACCCCCACGGGTCTGTCCGTCTGTCTGTCCGCACTACTGAATAGGGATAGGGGGGCAATTTAACTATAAACAGAACAAAAGAGAACAATAGAGATCATTCCGTAACAGTATAGTAAGGGGCCATTGGCCCTCTATTAAACAATAGAAAATAACAAAAGAAATGGCAACTTCTATCCGTCCATCCGTCCGTTAGCAATTTGGTTTCTGGAACATAACTTAAGTTCCATTTAGCCCACAATATTCAAACTTCATAGGATAATTGTCCATATTTGGTAGATGACCACTATTGATTTTGAGGTCACAAGGTCAAGGTCACCATTACCTTCAAACTGAAAACAATTTCCGGAGCATAACCTAAGTTCCATTTGGCCCACAATATTGAAACTTCATAGGATGATCACCATATTGGGTAGAAGACCCCTATTGATTTTGGGGTCACAAGGTCAAAGGTCAAGGTCACTATTACCTTTGAACTGAAAACAGTTTCTGGAGCATAACTGAAGTTCCATTTGGCCCACAATATTTTAACTTCATAGGATGATTGTCCATATTGGGTAGAAGACCCCTATTGATTTTGAGGTCACAAGGTGAAAGGTCAAGGTCACTATTATCTTAAAGCTGAAAACGGTTTCCTGAGCATAACTTTAGTTCCACTTGGCCCACAATATTCAAACTTCATAGGATGATTGTCCATATTTGGTAGGTCAAACAATCTCCTACGCAGTGATCTCCCCTTATCAGTACAGAGATCTCTGCCATCACAAACATTTTTATCAATTTTTTGATATTTTATATTTTTTAGCTTTTGAATTTATTATTCATTTTGTATACTTTTCATAATTTTTTTATAAAATATACCAAAAGCAGGTACGTAAAGTTTAAAGTTAAAGTTTTGCTAGATCATATTCTTAATTTTTTTATAGATTTTTGTAAGTGATTTAAAGGCAGCATGCCCATTATCATTTATGAATAGACCTACAACTTTGTATATTCAGAGAAGTATAAATTAAACATGTACAAAAGATGACATCATGGCAGCAGCTCCTAGTAACTTAAATTAAAATTAGTATATCTGGAAGACAAAAGCCCAGTTCTGAAATTGAGATAACCAAAAGTAAACTGTATCAAATTTATATATTATGATAATATTGAATTATATTTTACAATATTGAATTATATAATTATTATGATATTGAAAAGACTGACAATTTTCATGTTGTACTTTGAACAATTTGTTATTTACATTTCAATGCATCAAATTAACAAAATATTGCAAATTGAAAGAGAAAATTAGAATTTACCTTTTTATGAACTTTAGTTTTTTTCATGTTCACTTTTTTTTAAAATATAATAACCCTTACACACAGAAGTTATAATGCAGTGTAATTATAAAATAAATTAAAAAATCAGCAAAAAAAGTAACAGTTCAGCTTTGACAACGAAATGAAAAGAACAAAAAAAGTAGACCAATTGGCCTATAAGAATTTGTAATACCTAGTTTCAATTATTAATGGTTGTAGCTTTACTAAAAAGACAAATTACTGTGTCATTGTTTTCAAAGAGATTTTTAAATGTGCAATTTACGGATACTGTTACAAGTTCTTTATGTTTAGAGTAAACAAGTGATTAATATTATGTTTAATCATCATAGTCACCCCCATGGATCCATATTGGTGACTTGCTCTAGAAGGAGTCCACTAGAAGTAGTAATTTTTTTTTTTTAAACTGAAACTGAAACAGGATTTACTCCAAGAAACAATAATTTATTTAACTGACCTTGGGGCACCTGAGGGCTTCCTCCACCAGTAAAGCTAGAAAGTCGCCAATTGACCTTTACTCACAGTGTTGATTCAACGTTTAAAACCCAATTAAAATTTAAAAAAAAAATAATTTACAGTTTCACCCTTTAGCCCAAAAGAGTTGTTAAGGAGCTCCACTTAGGTCCAAAAGCCTTAAAGCACAACATTTAATATCTCGAACCAAAAATCCTGAGACTTTTAAGAGATTGGCATGTAAAGTGAAGCGTTTATCAATCGTTTCATGACATTACCTCTATAGACATTCGATAAAATACAACAATTAAAAGAAGGGACAAATGGTCAAATACAGCAAAGTATAGAACGGAAATTTGATAGAAAAGAATATCGTATCAAATATTGTAGAAAAGATGTTGAAAATATGTAGAAAACGTTGAATATAATAAATACTATGAGTTTATTAAAGTTTTGATAATTACTATTAGTTTATTAAAATTTTGATAAATACTATGAGTTTATTAAAATTTTGATACAGTATTAAATTCTAAAACAGTAACAGTTATTTTTCCATCATTTTTCAGCTCTCGCAAGGATTGAATTTATAGGTCCTCTAGTAAAAATAAACAGATATTCAGGGATATGTAAGGCAAAAAAAGTTAACTATTTACCTACAGCACTGCAATTAAACTCTCAGCACTGTAATTAACCTATACACAAAAATGATTGAACTTTTACTACAAAAAGTATGTCAATACTTATTATGCACTGGTATTAGATTTCTTTGCCTTTGTTTTCTATGATTAATCATGCAGTCAAAATAGTAAAATCATGCATAAAAAGTTAATTGGTAAAGGATTGAAAGAAACCAGTTCAGAAACATGAGACAGTGTTTGTGTTATGTAATTGACATTTTGTATTTTGTTTAAAATATTACTTTCAATGGATTATTAACATAATGTCTCATTTGTAGTTAATTTTTTATGTCATTTACTGAAATTCTAGATTAAAAGTTGAAGGTTAATAGATTTTCTGTCCTGAAAATGGTTCTTCATATTTCCCACATGTGAGATTATAGATATTAATTATTTAGCTACTTTTAAGAATCTATCAAAGATATTTTTTAATTAATTTTTAAAGAAGATATTTTTTTGTCTTTTGGTTTGTTTATCTGTGTTTTGAAGTTGTTTTTGTTTTTTGTTAGTTTTTATTTTTTTGGTATTTGCACACAATTTATAGGTCCAGATACTGTATTCATCAAATGAACGGTTCACAAATCTTAAAAATATTTTCTGTCCCATCATAATGAAAAACCTTAGTTGAGTTCCTGTGAGTGCTATCAGGATAATTTGCAATACAATTATGTAATAAATTTACTATTTACCTCATTTGTTTTAAGCATTCTGTTGCTTTGTTTCTACAGAATATGACCAAATTCCTTGCAAAGTTGCTGGGCTTGTTCCAAGAGGAAATAATCCAGGGGAGCTAAATCTAGATGATCATATATCACAAGCTGACCAAAGAGTGATGTCCCTTGCCAGTGCTTATGCGATTGTGGCTGCTGATGAGGCAATTAAAGATGCTGACTGGAAACCTAAATCAGCTGAAGAAAAACAAAGAACAGGTTGGTTGATGAATATTTAAATTTATTGTTTTCAGTATAATTGAATGATCTTGTGAAAAAAAGAATTAGGTAAGAATTGTAGATAACCATTATACTCAGTTGCCATGATATCACAGGTTCTATGATATCACGGTATTTACATTTTCTGTGACTGCTAGTAAAAGCAACACACGATGATATTATCTAATATTTTTAAAACTGGCACACTGAATTTATTTTCATCTGCCAGTAAATTTAATTTTCTGAATAATGAATGTATTCATGGAAAGAAAATTATTTTATAAAATCTTCATATTTGACTTCTATTTCCCTTAATTGTTTTTTACACACTCAAATAAAATAATTGTTATAACCACATATGCTGACATATCGTGTGTTCATATAGTTTGAATTTTATAGCAAGTTAACTCTTGGATGTTTTCCACAACTTAACCCATTACTCAATATACATGCCATTTAATGCCTTTGTCATCCCCCCCACCTATTCGTTGTCTAAAATTAAAAAAAAAATCCTTATTTAGATCCCAAACACTTGTTGTTTATTTTGAGAAATGTTGTTTAAAAAAATTAACCTATTTTTTGGAGCCACCCCTATCCAAAAGATACATCAGGGGGTTGCCAGAAGCCAAGAAAATTTTAGGAGTTGTGAGAGGCTAAAAATGACCCTAGGTCGATCATAAGGTAACATGTAACCAACACTGAAAAGCCTTTGACTCTATCTCAATCCATTGAAAAGTTGCAGCACTTTAAAATCAATGTTGATGGAAAAAAATCTATGCAAAATAATGATTTTTGGCAATTTTGAGATGAACCCTCGTTGCCATGGTAACAGGAAATTTAAGACTGAGCATGTTGTTACAAAGGCAATGGTCCAGTCAACATTTGTGTCAAGTTTGATTAGTATTGAAGCAGTTTTTATAGTTTTATAGCAATTTGAACTTGTAATGGGAGATTTTTCAATGAAAAGGGCCATTTTTCACAAAATGCTCATGCAGTAATGGGTTAACTTGAAGATTTTGACCCATCTATCCTTCCATACTTGTATTTTTGGGGATTACCGTGATACCATAGTAACCTTCTCTTAAATTACCCAAAATTGCAGACATTGAAAATAGTTTAAAAATTGACATTTAAATTGAAGAAATAAGTTTTTGACATACAGTCTTAGAAAAGGATCAGTTATTAAATAGAAGAAAAATCTCATTCATGTATGATATTTATATTGGAATAGTTTCCCATAAATGTTAAGTACCGTGATATCATAGAACCCCGGGCTACCCTTTGATAATTCATTATTCTAAATGAATATTTATATAGAATTAAGTGTTATTTTGCTACCAAAATGCTTTTGACACTAATTTGACACAGTGTTTTTCTGTGATTTTTAGAAAATGTTGTGTTTTAGGTAATTATTTGTTTTATTATGACATAATTAAAAAGCTGAAACTGAACAAACAAAAATATAATGAAGTTGAAAATCAACATAAGTTAAGTTAACATTTGTTTACTGATGTACACCACTGTTTCCACTCTTACCTGGTCTCCACTGTTTGAAAATGTCCAGAAAAAAAAGATAAGAAAGATTTTAATATCCATGAAAATTTTAAAAAAGGCATGACATTGTATGCAAAATAATGCCTGCATATTTTTTATTTAATCAAGGATTATTTTCTTTTGAAAATAGAGAAACATAAATATAAACCAGTCAAAACTAAAATTTAATGGTTTTATTTATCAGTATTCAAGTATTAAGCAGAGAATAAATAATGTGTTTTTGTCAACACATTTTTTGAACATTTAAACAATTTGATAACCGAGGTTAACAAAATGTAAACATTACACCAGTTAGCGTACAGTTGAAAACTCGTTTAATTTCTATTTGCACGCTTTATCAATCCTATCAGTTTGTTTTTCTACTCTATAAGTGCAATGACTTAACTTTAGAAAAACAAAAACAAACCAATTATTTATATATTTATAAAACATTCTATTTATATATTTTGTTAAAATATTATGTAATATCAATTTCAAAAGATTTAAACAGAATTTGGTAGCCTGGGTGAGATTAAAAGACTGTAATTGTAAGAATGAATTGATAAACAGTTTTGCAAATGTACCTTAGATCATATTAAAGATAGTAATACTGTATAAATGTAAATAATTGTGCAACAAATTAGATTGATAATTCTCACAATAAGAGAAATATCCTAAGTGATAATTCTTACAATAAGAGAAATAGCCTAAGTGATAATTCTTACAATAAAAGAAATATCCTAAGTGATAATCCTTACAATAAGAGAAATATCCATGTGATAATCCTTACAATAAGAGAAATATCCATGTGATAATCCTTACAATAAGAGAAATATCCATGTGATAATTCTTACAATAAGAGAAATATCCTAAGTGATAATTCTTACAATAAGAGAAATGTCCTAAGTGATAATTATTACAATAAGAGAAATATCTTAAGTAATAATTCTTACAATAAGAGAAATATCCAAATGATAATTCTCACAATAAGAGAAATAGCCTAAGTGATAATTCTCACAATAAGAGAAATAGCCTAAGTGATACTTCTCACAATAAGAGAAATAGCCTAAGTGATAATTCTCACAATAAGAGAACTTAGCCTAAGTGAAAATTATTACAATAAGAGAAATATCTTAAGTGACAATTTGTACAATAAAAGTGATCCAAGTGATAATTCTCACAATAAGAGAAATAGCCTAAGTGATAATTCTCACAATAAGAGAAATAGCCTAAGTGATAATTCTCACATTAAGAGAAATAGCCTAAGTGATAATTATTACAATTGAGAAATATCTTAAGTGATCATTCTTACATTAAGAGAAATATCCAAGTGATAATTCTCACAATAAGAGGTTTTCCTAAGTGATAATTCTCACAATAAGAGAAACATCCTAAGTGATAATTCTCACAATAAGAGAAATATCGTAAGTGATAATTTTCACAATAAGATAAAATATCTTAATTGATAATTCTTACAATAAGAGAAATATCTTAAGTGATAATTCTTACAATAAGAGAAATATCTTAAGTTATAGTTCTTACAATAAAAGGATATCCTAAGTGATAATTCTTACAGTAAGAAAAGTGTCATTAGTGATAGTTATCACAAGAGGAACATGAAAAATATATTATACAACAAAATTACAAGATATTAAAATTGATTCAGAAAATGTACAATATTACAAAAATTTATTGTTACAATTAAGTTTCCTTACCTTTCTATTCTTAATAAAATTCCCACAATTGTTTTTATACAGTTTTGTATCCTGCTCAAGTCAGCTGTAGTCTTAAAGTGACAGAGTCTTTGGCATAAGTCCCAGAAAAATATTTTAACATGTTTGACATTTTTCATTGTAAATAAAGATGGTTCTGTCTTTGAGACAAGGTGACCCCCCTAACATCATGTTTTGTGTATCATTCTTTTGAGCACAAAGGTATAGTAAATTAAGATGAAATTCATTGTTTTAAATTAATTGGGCCATTATTTCATGCTATTGTTGTTATTGAATTAAAAATCTGCACACGATTGTTTTGATGTTGAAATTTTGGGTCTGGTTGCATATTAAATACTTGATATAGTTGTCATAGGTAATGGTAAAGTACCAGGCCCTGAATAATGAATCTTGGCCTATAGTGGACCCCGACCACCATGAATAGATATTTTTTTATCGTACATGAAAATTTCCATTGAAAATGAGTTTTTTACTCTATATATAAAATAGCAAAAATTAGAATTTTTCGACTACAGGATCAACATGTAAGTGATTAATTATGAACTTCTAAGATGTTGAAAATGCTTTAATAAAAAGTTGTAAACAGATGACCATAAATTTACTTTTTTTTTTAAAGCATAAAAAGATTATAATTAATTTACTTCTTAAAAAGAAAAGCATGAAAAAGATTATCATAGTATAAATTTCTTCATTACTCTGCAAATACATGTACTTACGTAATCAAAATATCCAGTTCAATTATTTCAACAAATTTGTACGAAGTTTAATTTGATCGTAATAAAGACCTACAGTATCTGATTATGAACTTAATTGTTTTTACCCTCCAGACATTGAGACAAGTCACTAAATTATCCCGTAGTTCATATCTGCCATGTATCGCAATCGGAGATAAATCAATTAAACAATATATGTCACTCTATTTTATTGTTTCTCTCACAGCTAATTTGATTGTTTAACAAAGTCTATCTGATCAGATAAGCTTATATTTAATTTTGTCAAATTTCGGGTCAAATCTTTTGAACAAACAGTGAAATCTGACCGCTACAATTTCTGATGTTTTACGTCTGCCGTTCCCGACTATTATTTTCTCTCTATAAATTTGTTTGTATCATTTAATCTATTATAGGTGATTATTCATCTATAATTGCACACTTTCACTGGAATTGAAGCGAAATTTGTCATCTGAATAAATTGTTTATCTGATTTATTGAAAATATTTTTGCATTAAATACATTAACTGGTGAATAGAATTTGTTTAATTTACCTTGCCTTAAACTTCTTATTTAGATCTATTCAAGTTAATGTCTTTAAAAGGAAACCAAAGCTTTAAAACTATTTTTTTGGTGTGCTTAAAATTCAAAAGAAATTTTTGATAAAAATTTGGTGTTTTTTTTTCCTTCTATGTTTAAAGAGATAAGACTAGCTTTGATTTTGTCATGATTATTTTTTATATATTTTAAATGTCTTTTTGCTCGTGGTTGCAGACTTAAATTAATGTTTGGTTCTAGTCCTTTTGAAAATCTTTGTCCTGCATATTAAACAAGCAATGATATTGCATTGCCTTAAAAAATGTTGAATATATTCAAATGGCTTTAAAAGTTGTAAAATATGTAAAAAAAAAAAACAAAAAAAAAAAACAGTTAAATGTAAGATTCCAAAAACAGTTAAATGTTAGATTCCATTAAAAAAATCAGTTTGTTCTACCTTGAGCATTAGTTGCCTAAAAGGACATTAAAATGTTTGTAGCATTATGCCTTAAATAACCGCAAAAAAACTCCAAAAAGCATTGTGTTGCCTGAAAACAGTTAATGTGTGTTGCTTAATTAGATTAACACACTTTGAATGTGTGTTGTCACAAAAAGCTGCTGAATCAGTGTTAATATGTTGTATGAAATACAATGCTGTTGAAAAATTGTTAAAAGAGTGTTTTTTTGGAAAAGACATTCAACATATTTTGCCTGAAGAACACTTGACTTTATAACTATGATTATTATGTTACCCAAAAGACAGGTTTTTATGTGTTTCTTAACAGTGAAACATGTGTTACTTGAATAACTGTTAGCACCAGTCCTAATTTGCCCTGAATACAGTTAAATATATAGACTGTCTAAAGAATTATTAAATGTGTTTGCCTGTAAAAAAGTTCATTTTTGATATATCATAATTGAATTATTGTTTTATCAGATAGGCCAGCAAAAAAAAAAAAAATATTGTGAAAGAATTGATCTTGAAATCTTGCTTAGATTTCAAAAAATTGTAAGAGCCAACATTTCGATTTAAAGCTGCATGCCTCAAAATTCCTGCTAATTTTCATGAAAATTTTTAAAATGTAATTAAGAGTGAAATATTGTTAAGTGAACAAAGAAATAAATTTACACATTGCAATCGGTACTTAAAATCTACAAAAATACAAAAACTAGCCTATATAATTATACAATATGCAAAAATAGCTGTTACTGTGTTAAGTCACTCAGTAGAAATATGGTGAGTCAATACTGTCAAATCAGACATTAATTGCATATTATTATTATAGTAACATGTAAATTATCTCTTTAATTGTGAATATTTTTACTTTTCTTAAAATCTAACAGTACATTTTTCACAAGGTTGATTTCTTGAAATATTTTGGCTCATCTGGAGGCATGCAGCTTTAAGTTTTAAAGCAGAAGTTTTAGCATCAAAGAAAAAAAACAACAGAAAAATATCATTTGTTATTACTCCATGTCAGTAAATGAAATAATATTTGGATATTTTTCAGTACATGCATTAGATATCATTATTTTCAAAGAATCAAGTATTCCTAAATAGACCTAGATTAGCACAGTAGTAGTGGTTTCATTTGTACATAGAATTATGCATAGGTGCACCGGACAGCTTTCCTCAACCAATAAAACGGCTCAGTTGCCATACAAAGTTTAGTTGCCATATAAAGGTCAGTCGTATATGACTAAATCTTCCAATGTGACCAGTACAGACCTAGGTCAGTCGGCACACTGTCACCCAGATCAGACCAAAAAAATGTTACTGTGCCATCTGGTCATGGTCTGCACTGTTGGCTATTCAGTCAGTTCTTATTTTTAAAAAAAATTCCCCTAAAAGTGATGAATGGTTTTGTTGAGATTGAAAGATTGACAAGTCTAATTTTTAAGATATTTAGTGCGAACAATTGTTAAAACACACCTTGAAGTATAAAAATTTATTTTGCACGTAACAGTGTCTATAATGAGATTGTTGTATGAACTATAGTTCATTTTATATGAACTATCAACGAACTGTCTTACGTGGATTATGCGTAAGTGTAGTCTCAAGTATCTTGTATTTTCATGTTTGATCAAAAATTGGGATTTTGTTTACACTTTCGAAATATGTTGTAAGTAAACAAAGCTTTGGATTATGATAAATAATCTATGAGTGTGACACTAATGTAGTATGTTTTATTCACTTTCAATATACTTTCTAGATTATGTTTTCAAGTTTTGTCTTTCAACATTTGTGAATATTTCAATTTGCTATCTGGGTGTTAAGAAAAATGCACCATATTTCATAGCTGATGGTCTCAGGCACTCACATTAATGCATTTTATCACAGTGAGTATTATAGTTCTGTCAGCTATAATCTTGGCTTTGACTACATTTTAGTCCTTTACTGTCTTTACATATCATATGTTAGGATAACTAGTAAGATGGTTAAATCAAATATAGTACCAGTTACGGCAGCTTTAACAGCTGTTGCCCATAATAGGCAAGCCAAATAAAATACATGTAGTTTGAAATTTTGAGTTTGCAATATTTTGGCCAAGGTATGTTATCTGATTTTATAGTAGAAATATAATTATATTATTTCAGGTGTGGCTATAGGTATGGGTATGGTTGGGATGCAGCATATAGCTAATATTGGACAGATATTTAGGGAGCAAGGTTATCGGAGAGTCAGTCCACATTTCATACCAATGGTGCTGGTTAACATGGCGGCAGGACACGTCAGTCTCAAATATGGTTTACAGGTATTCATAGACAACTATTTTCAGTCCACATAAGCATTTATTCAGTGATTATGTCATCAGATAAGCTAAAAAGTTACAAATGCTTCCGAAATGCTAGTGGTTCTGCTTGAATGGCAGTTTATGTATGAAATTATGCAGAGGGGCATCTGAGGTCATCCTCCACCACGAAATGATAGAATATGACGTTGCAGTGATGTATGGCTTAAAACCTAAATAAGAAAATTAAATTCACTCATAATAATATAAGATAAAACACTCCATCTTCCATGCAAGTGATCAAGGCATTCAACCACATTGCATATAAAGCAAAGTGGAATTTTATATTTAATCTGGGATGTTTTAAGTTTAGTATTTAAATGACAGTGTGAGCTTCTGACTGGTATAATTTATGATAGGATCCTATTTGTTTCACATTATAGGCTTATATTGCTTTAAACTCTTATTTAACTTTTGTGTGTTTGAAAATGTTGTTTCCATGAACAAGAAACTTTACAATCTTCATTTGGATCAAACTGATATCAATTTTCTATAATTATAAGCTTAATTAAATTTCAGGGACCAAACCATGCAGTGTCTACGGCATGCACTACAGGATTACATGCGATTGGTGATGCAGCACGTTTCATACAGTACGGAGATGCTGACGTGATGGTTGCCGGGGGAACCGAGGCGAGTGTAGATCCTCTCAGTATTGCGGGCTTTGCTCGTATGAGAGCTTTAAGTACAAAATTCAACGACACCCCTGAAATTTCCTCAAGACCTTTCGATAAAGACAGAGATGGTTTTGTTATGTCCGAAGGAGCAGGAGTTATGGTACTTGAAGAGCTTTCACATGCAGAAAATAGGGGTGCTAACATTTATGCAGAGGTACTTGGTTATGGTCTGTCAGCAGATGCACATCATATTACTGCACCGTCTGAGGACGGTACTGGAGCATATAATTGTATGAAAAACGCTTTAAGGCATGCAGATGTGAAAACAGATTGTGTGGGGTATATAAACGCTCATGCAACATCAACCCCACTAGGTGACAAAGCTGAAAGTAGTGCAATATATCAATTATTCGGAGAAAATTGTGAAAATTTACTTGTTTCTTCAACAAAAGGTGCTACTGGGCATCTTCTCGGAGCAGCAGGCAGTTTGGAAGCTATGTTTACTGTTTTAGCTTGTCATTCAGGCAAAGTCCCGCCTACTGTAAATCTTGACCAATCAGACACTGGTTATGATTTAAACTATGTTTGTAAGACTTTCTCTGATTGGACTAACCAAAGAAGGGTAGGACTGAGCAATTCATTTGGATTTGGTGGTACTAATGGAAGTTTATGTTTTAGCAATTTTGATAAAATTTCAAGATGATATAATATTAAAATTTTTAACTTATCAAGTAAATTTCATTGATATTATTGTGTTCTTAAGACTTACAATTTTTTTTTTAAGCTGCACACCTCAAGATGAGCAAAAATATTTCGATAAAATCAAACCTGAGAAAAATGTACTAAGATTTTAAGAAAAGTATAAAGATTGAAAATTCAGGTAATAATTTACATGTGCGAGTAATGACTGCCTTTTTAGTATTTACATGTATAACTATATTTCTACTGCGTTACTAATACAGTAAGGGCTATTTTTGCATATTTTGCCTCTTTATGGTTATTTATATGGGTTGTAAGTGCCATTGCTAATGTGTAATTTGCATTCTTTTGGTAACTTCACAGTTTTATACTGTTAAATACATTTTAAAATTTTCATGAAAATAAGCATGAATCTGGAGGCGTGCTGCTTTAATTTTAGCATTGAAATATTGCATTGATCACTTATTTATATCAGTCCATATATAAAGATAAAGTGTTGAGAACTCTTTGATAAAAAGTTGAAGTTAAGGTGCTTAAGGTCATTGACTTCAAACCACTTGCCCCTCACCGCTGCGGGTTCAAATCCTGATAGGGACTTTAGATTCTTTATGTGAGGAAGCTATCTAGCTAGCTTACAGAACGTCAGTGGTTCCATTAGGGTGCCTGTTCATGCCTGATATAATGCACAAAGGGCAACTGAGGTCTTCCTCCGCCAGTAAAGCTGGAACGTTTTCATATGAGCTGTCCTATACTCTGTTGATGTGGTGTAAAACCCATCAAAAACACAAAAGTCACAACAGTTTTGTTATTAATTCTTTACACTTACGGTCTTACCTTATTTCTATTTATCATTTTCTGCTAATTAAACAGGTGTAAATTTTTACTTGATAATTTAAATGAACAAAATTCACTAAACATTATTTCATCTTTTATTAATTCATAAATTATAAAAAAGACTTGATTTATATTGCTGCTAATGGGAGACAAATTTGTTTCAATCATTGATTTGTAAGTTTTCAAGATACATTGTAAATTGTCAGTTCACCTGAATGTTTTATCACTTCTGATGATTTTGATCTTTTGTTAAACATAAATAGACATTTGTTGTTTCTCCTTAAAAGTTTTCTGTACAGTACAAGCACAATACAGAGACGGGAGGTAACTGTTACAATAAATTTAACCATGAAAGTTGAAGTTACTTCCCTTATAGTTTAACAAGCTTAATACGAAAAGATAATCCTGACGAAAATCACCATCAGGTGGGCAATATTATAGTATAAGGTGATAACATTCAACTTCACATATGTAAAAAAAATAAACATTATTATTTAACTCACTTGTTAGACACATAAAACAAGTTATTTCTAGAGATCGTGGGTGTTTTCAGAATGAGAAAAAGACATTTAGGTACATACAGTTCTGGTGCACTCTTGTTCATTAAGTCACAAACACTTAGTTCCTTATTTTTCCTGAATTGGTTGCGAGACATTGCTTTGGTTTATATGTTTAACATGTCTATATGTATAGTGACCTTTCAAATAGAAGCTTTCTGTTGAAAAGAAAGGTATGAATAGGCAGCACCTGTTTATTTAAAGATGTATTTATTCAGTTTTCTATATTTGTTCGAATACATCTGTATATTTTACTATTTTTCTTTTGGAAAAAAAAAGATTAAAAATAAATAATTGTGAGTTTTTGTTTTGTTTTTGTTTTTAAGAAAGCAAATTCAAGTCAGAAACAGGTTTGATTTTATGTTTGTTTGTAGGATAGCATATTTAAGGTGTCCATCTTTTTCAGAAACAGTTAAAATATTACAATTTATTCTTGAGCAAATACATACATAACCTAGCGCATTTGGCTCCAGACAGTTGCCCCCGGACGTTTACCTCCCTTTTTGCGATGTCGGACATTTGTCTCTCGTATGTTTGAAATGGGCGCACATTTGTACCTTTTAGCGGCATGCATCCAAATGAGCCAAAATATTTCAAGAAAATCAACATTCATATAATGTTCGATTTTAAGAAAAGTAAAAATGTTCACAATTTAAGAAATAATTTACATGTTAAATGAAATTAATGACTGATTTTTCAGTAGTAATATATCTACTATGTAAATTACTATTGCGAGACTAACCCAGTAAGGGTTATTTTTGCATATTTTGACCTATTTTAAATTGATAATTTTATACAGGTTAAGTGCCATTTGCAATGTGTAATCACGGTTAAGTGACAATATTTTACTTTAAATACATTTTTTTAAAGAATCGGAAAATAGGCATTAATTGGAAGGCATGCTGCTTTAATTCAATCTGAACAAAAACATTTAATGTGAAAACCACAGTGTAATTGTTCCTAAAAATTTCAAGATAATACGACGTTTCTTAACAACTCGTTTTTCATTTAGAAGATAGGAATTCTTTATTTCGAGGAGTTTGGGAAAAATGATTACATTGCTAGTTTTATGCTTGTCGTTATAATGTCATAACGTTAATGTTTATAATTTAACAAAACAAATCTCAGCATTTTTAAGGGTTTATGGTGAGTTATATGGCTATATGAGCACTAACACTTTACCAGTGTGGTTTAAGTGATGCATGTTTGTATAAAACAAAGAAACGACTTTATTGCAAAGAGTATTTCATATAATATCACGAACCAGCGTGATTTTTCTCAGAATTCTAAACTTATGAAATACAAAAGGAAACAAAGGAACGTCGCCCCACACGCAGCCCCAAGTGCCCATAGGAGACCGTCCCCTTTCTCGTGGTGTGACATAAAAGCCATGGAGGTGATCATCGCCTTGACAAACCAGATCCCGCTGATGAACTGTAAAACCCAGTCGGTGATGACCCAGGGGTACGTATATCCCCACACATCGGAGTCCACCTTGCGGACGCCGAAATAGAGGAATAGTAACACTCCGACGATCAGTAACGTGCACGCATGTATTATGATAATGACGTGCGCATACGTAAATCCACGCAAGGCCGTTCGTAGAGTGCTGATCATGTGTACCAAGCCAAGTTCGAGCCCGGTTTGTAACCCTTCAACGTTGATGTAGGTGATGAAGGTGTCTTGCAGATCGTCTGTTACTGCCTTTGTCAAATATTGTGATGCCTTCAGGCCGGCTGATATATGTACCTTTAATGTAGAGAAAATGTGAAAATAAGATTTTTCTTGAGTATATGTTTTCTTGGCCAGAATACGTTACTATATTTTTATCTTGAATGAGCCGATGCTGTATAAGCATTTGTATTCTTTATGAAATTGGCATTGAAATTTTAGTAGGTTTCAACTATTTTCAACTGTTAATAATACTGTAAATAATAAGAAGAAATTTCCTCTTATCATTAAAGTAACCATTCAAAAGATATACAAAAAAAGAAAATTAAACGGCCTAATTAAGTTTGCAAAGGAAGAATAATATTTTTAAGTTTTACCATATTGAATTCTCTGCAGTAAAAGATGACCACTTCATTGTCGCAAAAACCGAGCGACCATTTTTGTCGTAAATTGTCGGCAAAGTTTCTCATGATTTCCTGCTGCTCTGTGAATGAAGGATAACTCTGGGTAAGGTCAAGGTAAGGCTCTAGTCTTCCGCATTCGTTGCTGCACCTGATGTAAAATATTAGCATTTGCTAGTTGCATGTGACAAGTTGGACAACTTACTTCAACAGTCTGCACATTTACTGTACTAGTACATATACTTGCAACCTTACACAGGAAGTAAAGGGTCAAGGTTGCCGACTTTAATAACCTGCCACTTCACATAGGTTCAAATCTCACTAGATTCTTTGGAATATTTCATGTGCGTAAGCTATTGTGATAGATTACAGAAGGTTGATGAGTGACAAATAATGCTAAAAACACGACAAATGACAATTAGCCGAGTTGCTACCTTTCACTCTGTCGCTTCACAGACAGTGCGTTTGGATTTTCTTATTTTTGTGCCAAGAGAGTTGTGTTATGACGTCAGTGTGTTGCATTTAGCGGAGATTTCACTAAAAGGTCTGGGACTACCGGGGCTTTCAAAATCCAAAGACAAACACGACGAAATACGAAGCTAAGGGTAGCATTACAAATAACTGGGGGGTGAACCACTATGCCCCGAAATCTTGACAGAACATTCTTTACTTACAATTGTGAACTGTTGAGATCTGGTATTAAAATTCTGTCAATGATTGCCACAGCCACTATAAAACTTTCATGTTCTCCGTTAGTGTTGACGCACAGAGTTGACGTTCTTCTTTGAAGTTCTTTCAGTTGACCATCGATAACTGCACCTGTATTTTAAAGTTTAACGACTACAGTTAAGTTAAAACAGTAATGTTTTCTTGAATAAGATTAGATTGCATTACATTATTCTTTATAAAAAAAATTAATGCAATTATCACAACTGCGTAATATAACACGATAAAACCTGTGCATGTATACTTAGTATATGATTTTGAGATTTTTAATTATTTCATATAGCACATTCCTCTACGCCTACCCTGCTATATTTATATAATGTACTTCTCAATTTTCGAATTTGGAATAGTCTACCCAGTAGCATTAGCAAGTTCAATAGCAACTCGAGCAGACGACAGTATAAGCTTGATCAGACTGCATCTAGGTGGCGCAGGCCGGTCTGACTCCATAACGGTGGAATGCTTGTAGGTTTGTTATATAATCATCGTTAGCTCTCAAAAGATTCAAAGTTATCCGAAAAGAACAAATGTAGATTATATACACTAGATTTAGACAGAACTTTAATAAAACTAGCAGAAGATAAATTATTTTTCTTAATGTAACGTTTGAAAAGTATAACTTAAAGACATACATTATGTAATATTAGTTTAAGCCATTTGGGACTGTTTGTCTGAACACTGTTTGTATGAAGCCATAAGTTTCGACTGACGTGGATTTTTATGTGATGCGTGTGAAAATGTTATTACTTGCTGATAATAGGCAAGAACTGAACTAACATTACAACTATAGGGAAATGTCTGCCGGTATAAACCTTATTAAAAAACAAATGCATTTAATCCGCGGAACACATTGTTAGACAAAACATTGGATAGGAACGGTAACTTCATTCTTCTATGACCTTTAATTGATTGTGTTGAGAAAAGGCAGCAACAAAAATAGAAAAATAAGTTACCCCGAGATAATATCATTCATATAAGAATATATAAATTATACACATGTATAATATTAATGAAAATAAGAACGTACCGGGTTTCTCTGATTCCATCAACTTGTCTGGGTCACAAAAATAATGTCTCCCATTGATTTCTGGTCGTCCACACAATTTATGATCATGCAGTGGGTTGGGAAATGCGCACTGGTTCCACAATCTTGTATTGCTGTATGGTATATGCATGTAGGTGTAACCATCAAATTCATACGCCATTCCCTGACATTGAGGGTAACCGAATGTGTTGTTGATGACGTCACCTTTAACGCCCGCATATGACGTTAACGCAATCAATGCAAGAAGAATCATATTGTAGCCTTTGTCCAGTTCAAGTCGTATTTTTGATTCTGTGATAGAAAAGTATATACATGACTATTTTAGTCTACACATGAACTATTATAGTATAGACATGAACTATTATAGTATACACATGAACTATTATAGTACATACATAAACTATTATAGTACATACATGAACTATTATAGTATATACATGAACTATTATAGTATATACATGAACTATTATAGTACATACATGAATTGATTTAGTATATAAATGAACAAACTATTTTAGAATAGGCCTACGCATGAACTTTTTAGCATATGTACATGAACTTTTTCAGTATGTACATGAACTATTTAAAAACTTAGTAAATACATGAACTATTTTTGTACATACAAGAAATATTATAGAATATAAATGAAAGTTTTTATAGTTTTTACATAAAACCATCATAAAAATTTTGATATTTTTTGCTCGGGGGTTAAACCCATAGAAAATACAAGTTTTTAGTTCTTTTTTAAACATACTTTTTACGCTCTTCGTTTCGACTGCAAAAAAAGTTTTGCAATTTAAATCATTTTAAAATTTATTTCGAGCCTTTTACCTGGAACGGTAACACCAGTATTGGTGTATTGGTGTTGAACCGAGTAGTAGGTTCGAACCGAACCCCAAGGTCCCTGGGTTGAGAGGCAGATACCTTTAAGCGCAAGACTACTGCTCCCTCGAAGCCGCCAATTTACAAACATGTAAGTTTAAACGTGGATGTTTAGTTTTTTAACGCATACGGCGTTTTTAAGATCCATCGCTATATAGGAATTGTCATAGTAAAACTTAAGTGTCTTATCTTAGAATTTTTTTTAAACATTTTATAGATGTATACAGTGTTTGAAACGAGTAGTAAGAAAAAATATGAATAGCTCTACATGAAACCAAGAATAAAAATATGAATAGTTCTACATTAAACCTAGAATAAAAATATGAATAATTCTACATGAAACCAAGTTAAGTCTAACACTAAATGCAGTTGTTGAAATTACACACCAAATAGTTGATAAACTCCAAAAATCCGTAATATACTACCAGAACTAGCTAGCAAGTTTTAACAAACATATATTTTCTAAAATCTTAACATTGGTGACAAAGAGATTTCTTAAGCATTGTCTTAGAGATACATGAATAATTGAAAAGAAGAATAAGAAATATTATAGCAAAAGATTTGGAATTTCCTCGTCACATCAATAATTCATGAAAAAATACCAAGCCACCTGTTGCGAGAAATCGTATAATTTAAACCTTTTGCATGCTCAGAAATTTGTCGTCTGCTGATTATGTTGTCTGATTATTTTGTTATGTTTTTATCCCATTTTCTAGAAAATCAAAAACTAAAACTAAATTAATGAATTATACACTCATATACAACTCATTACACCAATCATTATATAGGTAGATATATAGATAGATAAATAAATAAATAAATAAATAAATAAATAAATAAATGAATGAATGAACGAATAAATAAATAAATAAATAAATAAATAAATAAATAAATAAATGAATGAATGAATGAATGAATGAATGAATGAATGAATGAATAAATAAATAAATTGAAATAAAACTAAGCAAAGAAAGAAGGAAGGAAAGAAAGAAAGAATTAATCAAACAAACAAATAAACAAACAAATAAACAAACAAAGATAAAATAAAAGAAATATAGGGTAATTGTGAAACAGTTTATTACCGGACAATAAGTACAATGGCCGGTACCTAAACGTCTACAGGGCGTTTGTAATCATATCAGCAGGGGAAAAATTAAAGCTTTATTTTATTCTCTCTTTTAATGTATACACAATTTATGTACGTTTTGGTAAAGTAATCGAGTGAGTCATTTGTTGATAAAAAAACCAAACAATATGTCTGACTTTTTCTTACTTTATGTTGTTCGATATTAGTTCAGTGTTTTATTGTTCTGAATATGCACTGCTCAATATCGAAAAGGGTATTAATAACCTTAAATACATGTCGCCCAACATTTTATCAGGACAATAAATGAGATTGTTGTTTTGCTGGTTATGTTGAAATCAGTAATGACGTTTTTTCAAATCATACTACAGAAATCTCAGCATCTGGTCTTGTTAATGACAGAATAATTACACAATTATATATGTTTCTTATGCAAAACCCGGAGTAGGGGGCAATATTTAATTAGCATTGGCACATTTCTTATATAAGTAATTCATGTTAGTCAAGGGTTTACCAGTAGCTTAAATGTATTTCTTATAATTTATTCATGTATATCAAGGGTATACTAACGATTCATCATTAGCCTATTAAATACTAGTAATTTATTGATATAAGGGATCACCGACTATAACCCGTGCCAAAACTTACATGTTTAATGTCCAAAATACCTCACAATATAATTGCAAACGGAATACGTGTTCTACCCAAGTGCCTACTGATGCCTGAAATAATGCACGAAGAGGCACTTGAAGGAAACAACGGCTACCCCTGACTGGGGTTTGAACTCACCTATTTCCTAAGGCCAATATATGACATGGGCTTCAAGGAAAAGAATCAGAATATATAAGGTATGAACAAAAAAAAAAGAATTGATTGTACCAGTACTGACTAATTCCGTTTAGCATAAGTAATCAAATTCTTTTGTAAAAAACCGGGAACGCATTTTCAAAAACATGCGCCTTTGTTACAAGCTTACTGCAGCGACGGACCCGATTGTTTCATTATCAAAACGTTAGTGTCAAATGACATCGCAGTAGCACATGAAAAGCATGACGAACGAATAACATATCAAAAGAAGCGTTTATATCTTAAAAGACGTATATTTTTATGCAAGAATAGAGCTAAAGGACATTTTTGTGCATTAAATTAATATCTGCAGTAGCGTCTGTACTCATGCAATATTGTATACATCTCTTGCAGCTTGAGCTTTGAGTATGTACTCTTAGTCATGCACGAACAAAGTGCATTTATACCCTCTATTTATGATAAAAAATTTCTAATTTTCTGTACTTATTTGATCATATTTCATATCATTTTTTGATGGATTAGTCAAATAAAGGGAGAGTCAAAGTGTCACAATCATAGTGTCAATAAATATATAAATCAGCATTTCAGTATATCCCATTATTTACATATTTCTATTTAAACAAGATTCTTGATTTTACACGTGATCTTTATGTCTCTATTTATTAAGTGGAAATACAAATATACCCGGTAAATTTCCTACCAGACTATGACGCTTTTCATTTGAGATTGATGCAGTACATTTCATCCTTCGTTTATATGATGCTAATTTTAAACAACACTTTGCAATACAATGTAATTAAAAAAAATTTAATAATGACAGTGAAATTATAAATGTACCAATACAAGTTCAGAAAACAATCTCACACTTTACGATATACTATAGGCATACCATGTAATGTTATTTTAAGTGTTATTTTTGTGAGAATTTTTGTTTTGTTGTTTTTAAGTCGCATGAACACAATAAATGTCATGCCATTTTTCAGTATCAATTGCGGAGGAAGTCTAAATTTAAAGTCATATCATGCAGACACGTGAGTAGAACCACCAACTTGTTGAATTGTTACTCCTATATTAGATAATAAAATAAACAAATAACTTACATGTTCACGCTAATTATACACCAACATTCATTCTCATATCATCATTCACTTTACAACATTTTAAACTCCAATAATGACCGCCTATACTAATCAGTTATAACTTTTCGGCGATACTAATCAGTGTATCAATGCTATACAGGAATTTATATCCCTATGTAAACCGATTTTATTGGATGCCGCACGAGGGAAATAGGGCTTTTATTATTCAAGATTAACCACTCTGTTAGAAATATCAACTATGAAATTGTTACGTACAATATACCGTATGACATCTCAATCGCAACTTTTTGGACCTTTACGTCATACTTCGTTAAAGGAACTCGAACCGATAGAGAAATTCGAAGGCCACGGCCAAAGGCAGTAAATCACACACACACAAACACACGCACACGCGCACACACACACACACACACGCATGTACACACAAAAATAGAAACGATTTAACAAATATAAACAAGTAAACAAAATATGAATTACCTAAGTACATTCTAGGAGTTCTTGTTATAATGTATATACATGAACTATTATAGTATATACATGAACTATTATAGTATATACATGAACTATAGTATAAACATGAACTATTATAGTATATACATGAACTATTATAGTATATACATAAACTATTATAGTATATACATGAACTATTTTAGTATGTACATAAACAAACTAATTTAGAATAGGCTTTTGCATGAACTATTTTAGCATATATATATATGAACTTTTTCAGTATGTACATGAACGATTTAAAAATTTAGCATATACATGAACTATTTTTTTACATACAGTAAATATTATAGAATATACATGAACTATTATAGTATTTACATGATCTATTATGAAACTCGTCAGAGGTTCAACGTAGCAAATACAATAATGTTAGTTTAATCTTGACTGCGAAACAAGTTCTTGCAACTTATATTAATCACTTTCGAGTCTGTTACATAGAACTAACCAGTATTTGTGTCATATGACGCAACATGGTTGTGACCCGAGCAGCAGGTTCGAACCAAACCCAAGATCATTGGGTTGAGAGGCAAACACCTTAATCCGCCAAGTTATCGCTCCCATCGGAGACACCAACTTACACACATGTAAGTTTAAACGTGAATGTTTAATTTAAGCTTTTTAACGCAAAACGGCGTTTTAAAGATCGACCGCTATATAGGAATTGTCAGAGTAAACCTTTAATATCTCATCTAATTAAATAAGTTAAATATTTTAAATATGTAAAATGTTTGAAACGTTTGGTTATAATATTCTATATGAACCCTAGAAATAATGAATAATTCTACATTCTATATGAAACCTGGAATACAAATATGAATAATATGAAGCAACAAAATAGTTGGATACCTAGAATAATTAAATTTGAAACCTAAAATAAAAATTTGAATAATTCTACATGAAACCTAGAATAAGAATATGACTAATTCTACATTAAACCAAGTTAAGTTTAACACTAATTGCAGTTGTTGAAATTACACACCAAATAGTTGATAAACTCCCAAAATCCGTAAGATATTACCAGAACTAGCTAGCAAGTTTTAACAAACATATATTTTCTAAAATCTTAACATTGGTGACAAAGAGATTTCTTAAGCATTGTCTTAGAGATACATGAATAATTGAAAAGAAGAATAAGAAATATTATAGCAAAAGATTTGGAATTTCCTCGTCACATCAATAATTCATGAAAAAATACCAAGCCACCTGTTGCGAGAAATCGTATAATTTAAACCTTTTGCATGCTCAGAAATTTGTCGTCTGCTGATAATGTTGTCTGATTAGTTTGTTATGTGTTTATCCCATTTTCTAGAAAATCAAAAACTAAAACTAAATTAATGAATTATACACTCATATACAAAACATTACACCAATCATTAGATAGATAGATAGATAGATAGATAGATGGATGGATGGATGGATGGATGGATGGATGGATGGATAGATGGATAGATAGATAGATAGATAGATAGATAGATAGATAGATAGATAGATAGATAGATAGATAGATAGATAGATGAATGAATGAATGAATGAATGAATGAATGAATAAATTGAAATAAAACTAAGTAAAGAAAGAAAGAAAGAATTAATCAAACAAACAAACAAATAAACAAAGATAAAATAAAAGAAATAAAGGGTGATTGTGAAACAGTTTATTACCGGACAATAAGTACAATGGCCTGGTACCTAGACGCCTGCATGGCGTTTGTGATCATATCAACAGGTGAAATTAAAGCTTTATGTTATTCTCTCTTTTAAAGGATACACCATTTATGTACGTTTTGGTTAAATAATCGGGAGTGAGTCATATGTTGATTAAAAAACAATATGTATGACTTTTTCTTACTTTATGTTGTCCTGTCCGATATTAGTTAAGTGTCACATTTGTTCTGAATATGCACTGCTTAATATCGAAAAGGGTATTAATTAGCTTAAATACATGTCGATCAGGACAAGAAAGAGATTGTTGTTTTGCTGGTTATGTTGAAATCAGTAATGACGTTTTTACAAATCATACTGCAGAAATCTCAGCATCTGGTCTTGTTAATTACACAATTATAAGTTACTAATGCAAAAATTCGGAGTAGGGGGCAATATTTAATTAGCATTGGCACATCTCTTATATAAGTAATTCATGCTAATCAAGGGTTAACTACTATTTCTCATAATTTATTCATGTATATCAAGGGTATACTAATTATATTCATCATTAGCCTATTAAATACTAGTAGTTTATTGATGTAAGGGATCACCGACTATAACCCGTGCCAAAACTTACATGTTTAATGTCCAAAATACCTCACAATATAAGTGCAAACGGAATACGTGTTCTACCCAAGTGCCTACTGATGCCTGAAATAATGCACGAGGAGGCACTTGAAGGAAACAACTGCTTGCCCCTGACTGGGGTTTGAATTCACCTATTTCCTATGGCAAATATGACATGGGCTTCAAGGAAAAGAATCAGAATATATAAGGTATGAAGACACAAAAAAATGTGAATCGATTTTACTAGTACTGACTTATTCCGTTTAGCTTTATTTTCAGTACTAATAATCAGTATTCTTTTATAAAAACCGGGCACGCATGAATAAAAACATGCATTAACGGACGTCATTGTTGCAAGCTACTGCAATGACGGACCCGATTGTTTCATTATCAAAACGTTAGTGTCAAATGACATCGCAGTAGCACATGAAAAGCATGACGAACGAAGAACATATAAAAATAAGCGTATTTATCTTAAAGATGTATATTTTTATACAAGAATAGAGCTAAAGGACATTTTGTGCATTAAATTAATATCTGCAGTAGCGTCTGTACTCATGCAATATTGTATACATCTCTTGCAGCTTGAGCTTTGAGTATGTACTCTTAGTCATGCACGAACAAAGTGCATTTATACCCTCTATTTATGATAAAAATTTCTAATTTTCTGTACTTATTTGATCATATTTCATATCATTTTTTGATGGATTGGTCAAATAAAGGGACAGTCAAAGTGTCACAATCATAGTGTCAATAAATATATAAATCAGCATTTCAGTATATCCCCTTCTTTACATATTTCTATCTAAACAAGATTCTTGATTTTACACGTGATTATTATGACTCTATTTATTAAGTGGAAATACTTAATACCTGGTATATTTCCTAACAGACTATGACGCCTTTCATTTGAGATTGATGCAGTTCATCCTTCGTTTATAAGATGCTAATTTTAAACAACACTTTACAGAACAATGTAATTAAAAAAATGAATAATGACAGTGAAATTATAAATGTACCAATACAAGTTCAGAAAACAATCTCACACTTTACGATATACTATAGGCATACCATGTAATGTTATAAAGTGTTATTTTTGTGAGAATTTTTTTATCAATTTTTTGTTTTGTTGTTTTTAAGTCGCATGAACACAATAAATGTCATGCCATTTTTCAGTATCAATTGCGGAGGAAGTCTAAATTTAAAGTCATACCATGCAGACACGTGAGTAGAACCACCAACTTGTTGAATTGTTACTCCTATATTAGATAATAAAATAAACAAATAACTTACATGTTAACGCTAATTATACACCAACATTCATTCTCATATCATCATTCACTTTACAACATTTTAAACTCCAATAATGACCGCCTATACTAATCAGTAATGCCTTTTCGGCGTTACTAATCAGTGTATCAATGCTATACAGGAATTTATATCCCTATGTAAACCGATTTTATTGGATGCCGCACGAGGAAAATAGGGCTTTTATTATTCAAGATTAACCACTCTGTTAGAAATATCAACTATGAAGTTGTTACGTACAATATACCGTATGACATCTCAATCGCAACTTTTTGGACCTTTACGTCATACTTCGTTAAAGGAACTCGAACCGATAGAGAAATTGGAAGGCCACGGTCAAAGGCAGTAAATCACACACACACACACAAACACACACACACGCGCGCGCACACACACGCATGTACATACAAAAATAGAAACAATTTAAAAAATATAAACAAGTAAACAAAATATGAATTACGTAAGTACATTCTAGGAGTTCTTGAACTATTTTATTTCATAATATCGTGTAAATGTCGACTTACATTATGCAAATTCAAATGTGTGAAAATATACATTATTTATTTATTGATTATTATGTTCTTACAAACAGAAAGCGTAGAAAGACATATGTTGATGATACATTATATTTGATTTTGTCACTGGTATTTTAAAATTGATATTGACTGTCACGCAATATGTTACCGAAATTCACGCTTTTCATTGGCATAGTCAATAACTGTCCTAGTTACTTAGCATGCAAACATTAGATAGTCTCGTTTTGTTAACTTCAAAGTCTCTTGATAAAATTACTTACTACCCTTATAGTTTTAATGTAAACAAAACCCAGCGAGTGAATTTTTCAGAACTTTTTTTAATGACCATTCATAGGAAAATTGAAGGATTTTTTGAAAGGAATAAGATTGAAAGAGATATCCGTCATTCAGATAACAACTTATTTATTTATTTATTTATTTAGAATAAACTTATCATGTTGATATTATCGGTTTGCAAGAAAAACATGATAAAAATTAGCTAATGAATAAAGTACATTTGATTTTTATATATTTAGTTCTTCATTATATTTA